GAGGCGGCTGGCAGCCCCTGTTAGTTTTTTGCTGGCTCTTGTCAGGCCCTGATCTATGCCAAATTAAAGAGTGGCATGGAAAGTTGGTAAATATGCACAGAAGAGTAAATATTGCCTAAAAGCATGAATTTATATACATGAAGATAAAGTTTCTCTGGGAATCCCCTTTTTCAGATAATTAATTATATCTAGGTACCGTGCCCATACTTTCTTGGGAAAAAATCAAGGCCAAGCATGAAAGGAGTTCATAAGGATAAAAATAATTGTTTATGTTCATAAATTTGCTTTACAAAGGGAAATTCAAGAGAAAACCAAGAAGTAGTGAACAAAAATGAAAATTCTAACAAAAAATATCTAAAAACCCAACACTGTATGTAAATTTATTTTAGAAAGACAGTTCAATTTCCAAATTTCTCACAGGAAAGTAAAATACGGCACAATTACTGTAAGTAGTACCGTTGGTACAGTAAAAGTTAAATGAGTAAAATAAAGGACAAAAGTTAAGTTTTTGAAAAAATAAATCTAAAGGACAGCTGTCTGAAATAAAGGGTTGTCCTTTGTAACAGATTTCCCCCAACATTTCTGGCTTTGCGGAAAGGTGGGGAGGGAGAGGGGATGGTTCTGCATGAGCAGCCGGCATGCGCACCCACCACTCACTTAAATGGAGCTTGCACAAGTGAGGATGTGTGTTCGCATGCACTCGCCAGCCGTTTCCGTGACCTGGTTGCAAACCCCTCATGGCCCATTAGTGGGCCGCGGCCCCCCCAGCATGTATGGTCACTAATTATCTATCAAAGTTCTTGTAAGAGAGGAATGAAAAGAAGCCACAGGGGGAGCAGTTTTCATACACGTTCCCCAGAAATTATAGTCATTTCTGACAGCCACTGATAGCCTTACCCTGTACAGATGTGTATAATGAAAACTTTAAAGCCAGACACATTGGTTTCCACCATTTAACTGTGGAAGTGGATTCTGTAATCCATGGATTATAACGATGGTTTAGACATCTGAGAAAACAAGGGATTCCTCTTGCTGATGGCACTGAGAAATACAGGTAGTCCTCGACTTACAACCACAATTAAGCATAAAATTTATGTTGGTAAGCGAGAAATTTGTTAAGTGAGTTTTGCCCCATTTTACGACTTTTCTTGCCACATTTGTTAAGCGAATCACTGCAGTTGTTAAGTTAGTAACATGGCTATTAAGTGAATCTGGCTTCCCCGTTGACTTGGCTTGTCAGAAAGTCGCAAAAAGGGAATCACATGACCCCGGGACACCGCAATGGTCATAAATATGAACCAGTTGTCAAGCATCTGAATGTAAATCACATGACTATGGGGATGCTGCAAGTAAGTGTGAAAAACGGTCATAAGTCACTTTTTCCAGTGCTGTTGTAACTTCGAACGGTCACAAAATGAACTGTTGCAAGTCGAGGACTACTTGTAGTGTCGGTAACTTGGACCAATGAGAACTGATTCCCAAATTTTCCACTGAGTGAATTTCCAAGGCCATAATACCCCCACGTAGCCATGAAAGCAACCAAGTGAACTGGCCAAGCATAGCATGTAATTACTGTTTCTGTGGGAGTGGATCCCTATAAGACTTTTTTCAGCAGTATGACCCTGAATTAGAAACAGAATGTATGTCTGCAATGATTACAGAAGCCTTAGGGAAAGTCATTCCTGACTTTCACTATCTATCCATTTGAGGATTCAGGAAACATATGTCCAAAAAAATAAGGCAGAAGACAGTTCTTCTTTTTGTAGAAGAACAGAACATTCTCTTCATTCTGGATGGACTACAATCACCTGAAATGAATATTATCTTTTTGTTCTCAAAGAAACGGGAGACTTCAGTACAGCTATATTCTTATTTTGCAAATGCCTGCAGGGAGACCTTCTTGCTTCTAACAAATAAGCATACAGCTTTTGCATATCCTTTACAGAAATATGCTGAATTATAAAAGGTTTTAATATATTTGCCTTTGAATAAATACATTTCAAATGTTGTTACATTTTAACCTATGCCAACATGAAAACATTTGAAAGATAGCTGAGGGAACAGAAGATAATAGCTATTATCTGACATAGACAATAGATATTGGTTCACACATTATTAAATCTGTTACTTGGTGTGAATCCAGTTTTTCTTCAAACACTGCTATACATGGCATTCAATTCTTCTGTTTTGGGATTCTGCAGTTTATATCTTACAGCTGACATGCATTTAGGCGATATCTATATAGCCCATTAAATCAATAAAGTGCAAGTTTCTATGCGCTGTCAGCTCTAAATTTCTCTATTGATTTTGTTTTGTTTAAGGCATTTAAAATGCCAGTAGGTAAGATGGTGTTTGCCAACACAGTGTACTAATCAAGTCCAGGTCAAAACACAGAATTAATTCTGAAATGAATACTTTGGAATATATCTGACAACATAATAGATTGGAAGTGTTCCAACTGACTTTTTAAAAACTTAATTTTGCTAATCTGCAACATAATACAAGCTGGCCTTCTAAAATATGACTTTATAGGAAGGCATAGACAAACTAGCAAACAATGAAGTATATAAAGGTGGTTTTGATATTCACATGACATGCCCAATACACAGTAACATTTAACCATGCTACAAAAGGTGGAGCTGGGTTAAGCAATTTCCAAAAGTGGTGATGTTCATGGACAAGCTTCAGTATTCACATCTAACGGCACTTTAAAATCTTAATGGCATCCTAAAGATGAAAGATGAAACCAATGGTTCAAAATTTTGCTTTGAGAAGAGATCTGAAAGATACCCATGGTAGACTAATGTCGAACTCCTGGCCCGCGGGCCAGATGCGTCATGTGCTGGCCACACCCACACCCAGTTTAGCGAAGGGAGGGAAAGTCCCGATTGACACCCTTGGACTAATGCAAACTTCTTAAACCATTTATCTGACTACGTCTGATAAGGACAGACATACTTAGAACCAGGGGTGAAATCTACTTACCTTCCCAACCGGTTCGGAAGTGCGAGCTCGCGTTACGTGCACGCACAGACCCTCTGCGCATGCGCAAACCCTTCTGTGCATGCGCATAGGGTAAAAAACAACAACTGGATGGGTTGGTGGAGCCTTGCGCCACAATTGCTACCAGTTCTCCGAACCACCATCCACCATCGCTACCAATTCTGCCAAACCGCTTCAAACCAGGAGCATTTCACCCCCTGCTTAGAACCTAATGATGAAAATCCAAGGGGGGTGGGGGTGGGGATTGCAAGGTTGCAAATCACCTTTACTTAAATAATGAATACTAAGGTGAGTTTTGGGCCTTTAGGGCATTCTGAATTTTGATGGGTTTGGTTATAATTTCAGAGAGCATCTTTCCTCTTTATATGCTATGCTTCTGACACTAGAATCCTTTCAGCAAAGATACTTTAAAATCTAATTACCAGCTAATTCCCCAAAGTTTGTATGCTCCAGCTCTTGTTTTTTTGTTGTTTGAAGCAGCACCCTGATAACCTCCCCTGGCTGTGTCAAGGGGGCAGCATAGCATCTGCTATGTGAAAGCCACATTTCAGCAGGTGGGGTAAATTGTTTTCCAAATTCCTAAAGAGGTTAAAAACAGCCATCTACAGCTGCTTATCAACTACAAGGTATTTTTACTATACTCATTTCGAGATCAATCAGTTGTGACAACAGCAGCCACATACAGCATTGCCACGAAGATCTGGAATTGTGAAATTGCATTGGTGGCACAGGTAGTCCTCGACTTACAACCACAATTGAACCCAACATTTTTGTTGCTAAGGGAGACAGTTGTTAAGTGAGTTTTGACCCATTTTACGATCGTTTTTTCCCCATAGTTGTTAAGTGAATCACTGCAGTTGATAAGTTAGTAACACGGTTGTTAAGCAAATCTGCCTTCCCCATTGACTTTGCTTGTCAGAAGGTCGCAAAAGGTAATCACATGACCCTGGAGGCACTGCAACCATCATAAATAGGAGTCAGTTGCCAAGCGTCTGAATTTTGATCACGCGACCATCAGGATACTGCAACAGTTGTAAGTGCGAAAAGCAGTCATGTTACTTTTTTCAGTGCCATTGTAACTTTGAACGGTCACTGAATGAACTGTTGTAAGTCGAGGACTACCATGTTTCCCCGAAAATAAGACCCAAACGGAAAATAAACCCTAGCATGATTTTTCAGGATCCTTGTAATATAAGCCCTATCCCAAAAATAAGCCCCAGTTAAGATCATCAGCCAGACAGAAATAGTACCATATTTCCCCAAAAATAAGACCTAACTGGAAAATAAGCCCCAATGCATCTTTTGGAGCAAAAATTAATATAAGACCTGGTTTTATTTGGGGGGAAACAGTACTTGTATTGACACCTGTTGTGGCCCCACCCTCTGAGCCTATCTCATCGGAGGAAGAAGGCTCTGAACATGAGGGAGAGGAGTCAGCCAGGCCTCCCTCTCCAGGCCCCTCCCCTCTGGCACTGTCTCAGGTGCCGGCCGAGGGAGAGGAGATTAGCCAGGAGCCAGGTGTCTCGGATGAGAGCGAGGAAGGAGAGCCGTCGTTCCTGGATGCACGCCAACGAAGGCGTGATAAACGGTTGCAGCAGTTAAGGAGGCGTGCTAGGGATTAGAACTGAGTCACTGGACCATACCCCAGAGACTATATAAGAGAGGGTGGTGGCTGGTAAAACTCCGTGACGAACAAAAACTAACTCTGGCTAGTCACTTGAACAACGTCTGAAGCTGCCGAAGGGATATTGTGTTGCTGGACTATTTGCAATGTGTATGTAATTTTATGTTATCTGTTGCAGTAAAGCTCTTGGCAGACGGTGCTTATATTGTTACCAAGTTTGAGATAACGACCTGTGTGCGTGCCAAGTACTTTCTTAACCCTCGGCTGGCTGTGTTTGTGTGTGTGTGTAGATGGGGACAGATCAACACCTTCTTTGGGTTACTCCTTTTTTACCCAGATTCTTAAAGCAACAGGTATACATCGAGGTGCTCACCTGGACAGTGCAGCTCCCAATACAAAAGAGGCATATTCCTTCATCAGTGGTTCACTGCTGTTTAGTCCATTAATCAAAAGTTGCAGACCACCAAGGGAAAGCAAATCTTTAGCATTATCCACCTATGAAAGATACAGTTCCACATTCAGGTGAGTACTACATTAAAACATACATATACAGAGATAAATCAATCCATGCATTCTAGAAGCTAAATGATGAAGAGGGTTTAAAATCAAATGCAACACCTCTTGACTCAAATTAAATAACGCTGCTGCCGCTTTGGGCCCAGCCTCTTTGCAATCTTTTACAATGTTGGGAAAGGTCACACATTCTGCCAGTATTTTTTTTTTTTTTTTTTATAGAGAGAATATTCCTTGAGTAGAATCCCACCCACGGGATCTCTGGATCTAACCCTACTATTATTTAGTTATAATCAGCCCTAGAGGGATTAATTGAAAATTCAGTAACTGTGATTAGCTTGCAAACTTCCTGTACAAACAATGTACTTACTAGAAGGAAGGAAGCTAAAGTTCATATTTCGTTAGAATACATCCCAGAGAATCTGATGAGTTAAATGGTATTCTAAGTATGACTTAATTAATAAGGTTAGGGAGTTTAAAAAAAAACACTTGGGAGGCAGTAACAAGCAGATTAGAAACTCGTCAGCCAGTACAAATGATGTGGAATGAGAATTTAGAACATTAATGGTAAAATGACTAAGCTGACACGAGACGTGGTTAAGAGAAAGAGTTAATGTTAGCCTTGATGAATCAGGGAAAGCCTTTGTAAAAGAACAGTGCTATAGTACTCTAATTCAAATCATGGCACGATTCAAAATTTGAACAAATGAGTTCAGGTTCTTTATTCAGGAAGGGCAAATTAATGAACACACATTTCTACAGATGCAATGGTAGCTCTGTGGTTAGAATGCAGTATTGCAAGCAAACTCTGCTCACTGCCAGAAGTTCGATCGTGACAGGCTCAAGGTTGACTCAGCCTTCCGTCCTTCCAAGTCGGTAAAATCAGGACCCAGATTATTGGGGGGAATATACTGACATTTGTAAACAGCTCAAAAAATGCTGTAAAGCACTGGGGAGCGGTATATAAATCTACTGCTATTGCTAAGTGCTATTCCACAAAACATGTAGTCATGTAAATGTCAATTCCTGGAATGCCCCCAAAAACTGCTAGTGTTTTGTTGTTGTTTTAATTTCTACCTGATGGACATAGTACTCAAGATCGGAAAGTGCTGTGATTTTCTCCTCAAGCGTCGAAGCTGAATTGTTGAATTTGTTGATTAATTTAAGCATAATTTCAAGGTCGGTTTCCAGCTGCAGATTGAGCTCTCTGAATTCTTCCTTTAGCTTTTCGATGGGACGGAATCTACGTCGGATGTCTTCCCGGTGAGCCTAGAAAATGGGGGCAGTAAACCAAAAGACTCTAAGCCAAAAGGAAACATGTAGACATTCATGATTGTTTCTCCAAACAAACGCTGTTTCTTAGTTCCACGTAAACAACATCTATTACTTTGTGTGGCCAGATACAGGAATAAATAAATATCCCTTAATAATTCCAATCTTCTCTTTTCGTAAGATTCCTGTTCTCATTCCAGGGCTGCTTTTTTCTAGAAACTGGGATAGGGATGGGGAAAGAGAAAGAAAACAACCCTCTGGATTTTAATGAATCCATTTTTACTTAATGCCTGTTATTTCTGTTGTTTTGCTTTCTACCGGTAGCAATCACCTGCTCAATGTCAACTGATATAGGCACTGAACCAATGCATTCAGAAAGCAAAGAATCAGGCCCCTAGTTTGAAACATCTACGTGCTAGAATGCAATGTTAGAACACAATTTAAGTCACAATGTGGTTTTTCAGCTGCTCATCTGCTATACTCTCAGGTGCTTTTTGCTGGGTAGGCAATGAGCTGATGCTCAAATGTCTTTATTAAAAAAAATGGAACTTCTGCTGCAATTGTCTGGGAACTGCCCGAGTTTTTAATTTAAAAAAAATAAAATCAAAATCATTTCCATCTGAATCCTGTAAGTAAAAAATAGATGGATACACATGTTGATGAATATTAAATTAGCTTCCTTACCTGCTCTCATGCATGGATCCTCACAAAAGCATTAGAAAATAAAAGAAGAAAGGCATTTAGAAGCCAAAGACAGATTAGTTCATTAGAGCAGAGGCACATTACCCAGACTCCCTCTAAAACAGGGGTCCCCAATCTGTGGACCACCGTCCACTAGTGGGCTGTGAGGGGTTTGCAACTGGGCCATGGAAACAGTCGGCGGGCGCCCATGTGTGGATCCTCACTTGTGCGAGCAGCAGGGGAGCGTGTGCGTTTAGGCTCCATTTGGGTGAGTGGCAGTCGCACGTGCATACTGCTCATGCAAATGGAGCTGCGCACACGCTTGCCGGCTGCTTGCATGAACCATCCTCCCCCCCCGCCAGTCCGCAAAGCCAGAAACAATGGGGAACTCTGCTTTAAAAGTCATCTCCCAATTGTAATTTGCGATGTGAACACAATGATACATCATGAACTGTTTGCCTACTGACTACATTTTATTTTCACCAGATTCTAATTAAAATTACATTACAAATTAAATTACAGAGAGTGTGGTTTGTTTGCTTGTTTGTTTGTTTATAAGATTTGTGTGCCACCATCTTGTTTAACATATGTTCCCTGGATGTCATTCAAAAACTTAAGTGTGGGCCTCAGTCTGAAAAAAAGAATGTGCCTCCCTGCACTGAGGGTTGTTTCTCTTGCTCTTTCAGGAAAGAAAACAGACATGATAAGGAAGTAGAGATTATCGGGACTCAGCCGGACCAGGCCGCATCCATTTTCTTGGTTCACATTTGTGTCATGGATTTCACTTCCTTTATCAACATTTTCCCCACTGAATTTAAGGATATGAGTGTTAAGGGCTCGTCAGCCTTCCCATTGCTGGATTTATATCATACCTTTTCTTCTGGCGTATCATCCGCCTTCGTGGTTTCTTTCATTTTAGCCAAGGCCCTTTTGAGTTCTTGCGTTGTGAATGAATTTGGGTCAATATCTATTTGGCCTAGCCTAGCATAAAAATATAAACAGTGAACAATGTGTCAACAATGGAACAGATCTATCTCCTTCAGAAAAGCCATCCTGACCCTATTTATTTAACTAAGCCCACCCAAAAAATGGAGGAAACACTACATGGCACAAAGCAAGGTTTACTCATATATTGTTTTAATTCCGGAGCTGTGTAAGTTTTTAAGAAAAGTCTACAATCATTTAAGCTATGCTCCAAAGCCATCGGCAGGAATGGACAGAAAGTTTGTCTATGTGCTAATATCCCTGTATTGTTAATGTCCATTTTAATTTAAAAAGTCATCTAAAAGAAAAACACGGATAATTCAAGAGCTGACTGAGAGTGAAAAGTATTTTCTCTTCAGAGTACATATCTCTGTAGAAGGCAAATGGAGGACCCAAAATAGATAGTTTCTGCAAAACTAAGGAACGCTTTAAACATACAATGAATAAATCAATAAAGAAAAAGAGACAAGAGGTGGAGAGGAAGACAAAGAGTCAGAAAACACATGTACAGGTGCCTTGATTAGAGTGTGATTTTTTTACAAAAAGAATTGAGGCACTCTGGTTTTTATTTTTCCACATATTCATAATGATATTCATAATGATTTGATGGTTGTTGTCCATCAGGAATTATATTGTATAAGGTAAACAACCATAGTACCTCTTTTAAAGAAAAGTTTAAAAACCTGCCTATTGGAAACAATAAGCAAACCAATGTTCTTTTTTTTTTCTTAAAGTTAGCAAATCAATGTTCTGAAGAGAGAGCAGAGAGCAGAAAATAGAAATTCATCAGACTATAAGCAATAGCAAAAGCAATAGCACTTAGACTTATATACCACTTCACAGTGCTTTACAGCCCTCTCTAAGCGGTTTACAGAGTCAGCCTATTGCCCCCAACAATCTGGGTCCTCATTTTACCCACCTCGGAAGGATGGAAGGCTGATTCAACCTTGAGCCTGGTGAGATTTGAACTGCTGAACTGCAGCTAGCAGTCAGCTGAAGTAGCCTGCAGTACTGCACTCTAACCACTGCGCCACCTCAGCACTGAGAATTTTTTTAAAAAACTCACCTGTCTTCATATGTTATCCATTGAAAGGGGAAACCTTGAGAGAAAAGCAGCTGTGCTATTTTTCTGACTTTGCTTCCAAAATTGCAAAGGTCTCTCGTTTCACCAACCCCCTAGGTCACAGTTAGGCTTCTCAGCTGAAGACATCGAAATTCAACACTATAATGCTGCAGAAAGACCCTTATTACAAAAGGAGGGTCCCCAGCATGCCATCATAAACCTTCCCATTGGTAATCTCCAATTTACAGCAGTTCATTTAGTGACTGTTTGAAGTTACAACGGCATGGGAAAAAAGCGATTTATGACCATTTTTTTCACAGTTACAACCATGCAGCATCCCCGTGGTCACGTGATCAAAATTCAGACGTTTGGCAACTGACTCACATTTATGACGGTTGCAGTGTCCTGGAGTCATGTTTGTGAACTTCTGACAAGCAAAGTCAATGGGGAAGCCAGATTCACTTAAAAACCGGGTTACTAACTTATCAATTGCAGTGATTCATTTAACAACTGTGGCAAGAAAGATTATAAAATGAGGTAAAACTTACTTACCAAATGTCTCACTTAACAACAGAAATTTTGGGCTCAACTGTGGTCATAAGTTGAGGACTTCCTGTATTTTGTAAAAACTGTCCCTTGCAAGATAATCTTTCTAATTTTTTGTAGATCAAATAATGTATTTTGCATCAAATTTTTAATCACTTGGTCCTCACATTTAAACATGCTAATTAGCATAAATGTTTCTTTTCCATCGAAATGCAATCTTTATTCCAAGGGAACTAGTAATTAAGCATAATCAGTACTGATATGTTGGTAGAATCATTAGATAGATAATTTGCTAGTTATTATTTATTTAAATTCCAGCTTCCAGCTTCGGCAAACAATCAGCATAACTGAAAGCCACATCAATTAGCGGAAATAATGGTCTAAGAATCCATTGTCCCTATTCAAATCTTCTCTAATGGATTGCATTTTTTAATGCATTGTAATTTAGTTGTCTCTCCTTGCATGATGCCGATGACGTTTCTCTGTTTCACTACTGCTACCTTGAGGTCAGTGATGGAATGTCCTGGGAGGCCAAAATGTTGGTCCACTCTCTTGTTACTGTTTGAGCTACGATGTATGATTTGTTTTTATTTATTCTCTTGTATATGGCTGAGCTGCGCAGTGGCTAGTGGTCTCTGACTCTCGCCTCCCACTCGGAAGGTTGAGAGTTCAATCCTAGATGTTTCTCTATCGGGGCGCAAAGAGAAAAGATCTGCTGCAAACTCCACATAGGCTTCAGGAAGGGCATCCGGCCAGCAAACGCTTAGCTCCATTTAGTCGCCCCGACTTCACCCCCATAAAAAGGGATTAAAGGATCATAAAAAGAAAAAGAAATATCTTGTATATGGCTAATCTGTTTCACAGAGAATCTGGAGAAGCATTGTTGGAAGATGATGACATATGTATCGCACTAAAAGATAAGCACGAGCAAGACAGAGAAACTTGATCACCATTATACATCTCTGTATATATATTTATTGAAACTAGATTCCAAGGTCCCCTGGATGCATCAAGACTAGTACACTAACAGTAAAGCTAAATTGAGTATTTACTTTATACTGGTATTTTTTTACCTTTGCTTTCTACTTGACTTGAATTGTGATTATATCATTCCAGTATATCAGGAATTTATTTTACAGTGTGGGTTATGTACTCTAATAGATCAAAATTTCAAATAATATCTATGAAAGACCTTGCTCTGGAAAGAAGCACCTTTCTGATAGCATCCCCTTTCAAAGAAACAATGAAAACTAATAGAAGCTGACCCACTTCCAGTTTAAAAAGAAAAAAAAAAGGTCTTTTAAATCTGTATACCTTTTACTTGTTGGAGAGTCTTTTGTGTCACTTTTTTCTTTGTAGTCATCTGGAAGTTTGGCTAATTTTTCTCCAGTCTGAAGATTTAATTGTACATGTAATCCTGCAGGAATAGCTTGACCTAAAAATAAGAAGTTAAGAGATTTCAATTTTGTCTCTTCCTGTTCCATAAATATTCAAAACCATATTCAAAAAGGGAACCAATTAAAAATTAAAGAATATTAAAGTTTTGTCATATTAGTTTAGTGTAAGGTCATTTAGCTGTAGACCCTTGCTATGCCCTCAGATGCTGAATAATTTCCAGCACTTCTCATTATGGACCTCTTCAATGCAAATTCTGGGATCTGTAATTCAGCAACACTTGGAGAATCATAAGTCTGGTTGCATAAATATTTGCATAAATAGAGTAGCTTATTACAAATAGTGTAATATGCTACTCTACCATATTTAACTACTCCTTTTACGGAGATTGCTATTATGGAACCCAGGGACCATTTGTATGCCAAATGCAGACAGAACACTATTATCAACAGTCAGAACTGTATTGATTGTCTGAATCCTTGCAACACAAAATTAGAAATCTATTTTAAAACAATATGATTTGCTGAAGTCCTAATTTCTACTGCAGTGAACTTGGGTAATCAGAGTCTATTAATTAGAATAAAAAATTGGTCATTCAAAAAATAAACTGATAATCTGACACAAGGAAAAAACATGTAAAATTAGAAGTAAAACTTTCTTAGAGCCACCCATTCCAATGATCAGCAACTCATCAGCAACCAATGATCAGCAACTCACAGAGCATTTATAGCAATGGGCTTTACAGAGTAAAGAAACATGGGAATAATTTATAACAGAAAAGAATGAGAGTAACCTAGATTTTCTGTGAAATTTTCTGTCATTTATATGTTTATCTTTTAAAAATTAGTGGTTTCAACATATCAATGAAGTCACAAGGAGTCAAGTTTATTCAAAGGAGATGTATAACTTTTCAAGTTGTTAACAAAAAATCCTGCAAAACAATCTCTATGGAAGGACTGACAATGCAAATACTGAGCCATTCAAGTAAGATGAGAAAGGAATCATACTGAGCCAGTGTGTATTTTAAATAAGACACAAATGTGAACAGAATTAAAATATGTTATAGAGAAAATACGTATTCCGTCAAAATTGCACAGCATGTGTTTTAAACTAAGGAAATTCATAAATGAAAAGATTGAGATGTCCATTAATGTAATCTGTAACTGAAGTACAGGTACTGCTCAATTTTCAACCGTTCGTTTAGTGACTGTTCAGAGTTACATTACTGAAAAAAGTGACTAATGACCATTTTTCACACTTACAATCACTGCGGCATTCCCAAGATCACATGATCAAAATTTGCCCATTTGGCAACTGACTGATATTTATGGTTGCAACTTGCAGTGTCCCAGAGTCATCTGATCACCTTTTGCAAGCTTCTGAGAAACAAAGTCAATGGGGAAGCCAGATTCACTTAACAACTGTGTCACTAATTTAACAACCACAATGATTCACTTAACAACTGTGACATGAAAGGTCGTAAAACTTAACCACTGTCTGATTTAGCAACATAAATTTTGGGCTCAGTTGTGGTCATAACTTGAGGACAACCTGTAATCTCGCAATTTTTAAAGCATATCCACTAAAGGATATTAAATTTGTTCTCAGGAAAGCTTGAAATGCACAGTCTTTTTATTTCAGAACTGAACATGTTTATTGCATTTAAAGAAAATAATAATGAAAATAGATGACACAATAATTGGGTTTTTTGTTTCATTTTAGATCTTATTTAATCAACAAAGAGTAGACTGCATTTGCACAGCGTATCTTACAATGTTAACTTTAGCTTTTGTATATAAAAATATCTTGATCATAAAATGAAATCTTTCCTTTGTCTGCATTTCATAATTTGGCTTCATGTCTGCACCTCCAAGATGTAAATAGACAAGAAAGGTATAATCTAATTAAAGTATAACTGACTCCATTTTTAGAAAGTGCTCATTATCTATATATGGGGTTTTTTGGTTTTGAGATACTGAAGGAAGAAATATTAATAACTTAGATATTCATTACCACCGCCACTCATTATTTTTTTTACCATTTCCCTTAAGTCATGCACTATTGACAAAAAGAGCTTCAATAATTTAGCTCCTTAAGAGGCAGTCTCATTTAGTAGAACTTCCTTCCACCAATTAATCAGCAGAGCCTTCGATCAACTGAGATTTGAAACTTACTAAACCACAGTACCTGTGGATAAGCACATAAAATAATGTAAATAACTTTTCTTCTAAGCATCCAGTATTGAAACACTGTCCTGTGAAAGAATCACTGAGTGCATTTGTATGCATGCAACCAGAGAGGACAGTTCTTCTGCCACTGTCACTCAAGCAAAGCATATCATTCACCTGAAGAATTAAATACAAAATTTGGTGATGACTACTAACCTGGATCCTTTAAAAGGGCAATGGTTAAATTCATGGAAGACAGTTCTATCAAAGGCTAGTACAGAACATAGCATTACCTTTAGATTGGGAGCAGCATGCCTCCCAATACCAGGTAGAGGGCAGTGGTTCCTGCCGGTTTTACTACCAGTTCTATAGAACCGGACAGAACCGGGACAACCGACCACTGGTGCAGGGCAACAATGACAGAAGAGGGCTATATTCCATCTCCTATTTGTAAACACTAGCAGCCACTGGATTGATCACTGTAAGAAATGCTGGATTAAGCAAAATTTTGGCCTAATTCAGCCTAACAACACATTGAACAGCAGAGTAAAGAGGGGTGTCTTAGTCCCTTTGCAAGCCTCCCTTGTGAATTATTTGCACAGCTCTAAAAATAAACCATATTTCCATTACCTGGCCGGACAGTCTGCCACTGATTTGTTGGATAAAACACTTCCAAGTCTTCAGAATCAAGAACCTCTTCTTCCTCCTCGATCACCTCCAATTCTTCCTTATTTTGCTCTTTTAAATCACCCTCTTCTTTTTTTGTCAAAGCAAATTCCTACATAAAAAAAGATAGGGTTACTTTTAGACCTGCATATTAAGGTAAAAGTAAAGCTTTCCCCTCTCTACTCATGTCCAACTCGGGGGAGGGGGGGAACAGTGCTCATCTCCGTTTCTTAGTCAGAGGAACCAGGGTTGCCCTAAGACATTTCTATGGTCATGTGACCAGCATGTCTATCCATTGAGTGGCAGGGAATGTTGTTAATTTTTCAGCAAATTGGTACCTATTTATCAGTCTGCATTTTCTTTTGAACTGCTAAGTAGGCAGGAGCTGGGGCAACTAACAGGAGCTCACCCTGTTATGTGGCCCTTGGGTCTTGAACCAGCTTTCCGGCATGTATATTATCTTTTATTAGTGAAAATACTCTTATGTATTACACATGCATTAGAAAAGGTCTGTTAAAAAACCAATTAAATATGTGGTTAACCATCTGCATTGAAAGCACAGTGCTAAAAAGAGAAAGATTACCATCCCGCTCGCCCATATTCATTCTGGCTGATGGCTTAGCTTTCTTTAGTGAAACGTATTCAATATTTATTAAAAATAAATACTTACTGCAACTCTGTCATTCAAGCATGAAGAGAAACTTGTTATAAAAAGCAGCAAGATCACCAAATTCAGCTTTGTCACAATGGAGGACCAAAAACAGATGCGAGGCATTGCAACCTGAAATTACATAGTTGATTAAATAGATCCCTGCCCATTTCCATCCATTATTTTCATCACATTGTACAATTTTACCATATTCCACAGAAAACAAACATGACACTTAGCGGTGAATATTACTGTTCCAAAATATATATCCCAAATCTCTGTTCCAAAGATATTGATACATGGGTAAATTTCATAAATGTATGAATTTAATCTTATCTCAAAGAATACTCTTTAGTCAAGAGCAAATTCATCATGGAGAATACCTTTAAGATAAACTTATACTATGAGTGTGCAGATTGCATACTTTAATTACATACCATATAATTAATAGGAGAGTTAATGATGATTCAAATAAGTGATCCTTGTATACTATTTAAAATAATGATAAATGTGCACAGTTTCTGCTAAATCTGCTTCTTTCTTTAATTTTGTTTTCTTTTTAATGATACCATCTGGATGGGAAATCCATGATTGTCCAAGTAAAAACAGATTCAGTGTCCCTTCCCACTAACTATAGGGACAGCAACTGGTCAGAATCACAAGTAAGAGACATGGTGGGGGGGGGGAGAGACAGGTGACACAGGTTCTGCACATCTAGTAAAGGTGGTTCTTCCACCCTAGTTTTGTCACTTAAATAAACATGCTCTCCCTCTAAGTGCTATTAGTATTCTTTTCTGCATATATAGACAGCAGCTTGGTAGTTACAAGGAACCCTGCAAGGATAAATGCAATAAAGAAAGCTCTGTTACTCTGTTACTCACAAACTCAAAGAAAAGTATTGTATTTAGCACCATTCCCCTCCATCTTTCTTTATGTCCACCTCCCTTTATTCTCCTAATCTTTTTCTTTACATCCCTTTTCTTTTATTCTTCCCCCACCTTTTTCTTTACCTCCCGCTATGGCAATTCCTTTGGTGAAAACTGAAATAATGGCAACAGTCTCAGTTATGCCCTTCCTTGACAGGAGTTCCTACTGTTATGTGCTACCTTCTTGAAAACCAGCCCTACTTTCCATTAAATCAGTGGGGAAGCACACTCGGCATCCCATTTGTGGCAAGGGAAGAGAACAATTTTACTCCATCTCTGCCATCACAAAAAGGCCTTTTAAAGTCCCTGAATCACACCATTCATCACAGGAAGTTCCTGAACAGAAATGACTGCTGAGCACAACTTCTGGGTCCAAAGAAACAGTGAGAACTAGAAACCTTAACACAACAGGGCCCCTCTCCTTCCTTCATGCTGCTTTGAGTTATCAGCCTGCAACACTATCACTGTGATTTTGGGGCAATTTATGGTCATTTGTTCTGCCTTGTGAACTCTGGGGACTCTCCGTTCCTTTGCAAACTTCATCTGTATTCTGATATTTGACTGAGCAGGTTTTGCAGTGGAGGTAGTTTTGTATTATCACATCTTTGGGATTTTTTATTGATTTTGTTTTGTTGTCTTAAACTGCTCGATTGGATAATGTTCCCAAAGTATGATGGCATATACCTAGCTAAGGATCAGGAAGGATATGCTGTCCATTTAATATTTTATGACTATAATTATATACTGCTAAATATCTGAAAAGTGTCCTGATGAAGATTCTATTTCATCACACTACCATCTAACAAGAGCCTTGGTGGCGCAGCAGACTAAAGTGCTGTTAAATAGCACCAGCTGCCTGCAATTACTGCAAGTTCAAATCTCACCAGGCTCAAGGTTGACTCAGCCTTCCATCCTTTCGAGGTAGGTAAAATGAGGACCTGGCTTGTGGGGGCGATAAGCTGACTTTGTATAAAAAAGAACACCGCTGGGGGGGGGGGGCGAAAGCCCTAGTAAGCAGGTATATACAAAAGTATGAAGGCTATTGCTTAACGCATTGTAAGCTACCCTGAGTCTCCGGAGAAGGGCGGCATATAAATCGAACCAATAAATAGATAAATAAACAAACTGTAGAATGGCAAGAATACTCAGGAGGCATATTAGAATGAGAGAAAATACAGATCAAATATTCAGCTATAAGTCTCAGTTAGTTTACAATTATCATATAAAGCCAGAAGAATGAGTAAATGAAGTAAATTCTGCTTAAGGTAACAAGAGGTGTATCATGCAAATCAGAACCCTTGGAGACTGTGAGTTTTAGCTCCCTCTTAGATACAAAGCAAGCTGTGTGACCTGGAGCCAGTCACTCTCTAGGAAGGAGGCAATACCAAGCCACTCCCAAAAAACCTCACCAAGAAAACTACGGGACTAGTCCAGGTATCAACACAGACTTGAAGGCATACAAAAAAAAAAAAAAAAAAAACCTCCAAAACCCAACCCATCTCAATTTTCAAAGCAATATCATTTATTTATAACCTATTTCATTCCTAATAAATTATTTCTTGTTTTAATATTTTATATTGTTGGTTTTTATTAATTGTAAGCTGCCCAGAATCATCTTACTGAGATGGGAGGCATATTAGTTCAATAATAATGTAGAAAATATCTACAGATCCCTCATAACCTGGACATAAATTGTTTAACTTCTGCCTTCAAAACGACACTATAGGGCACTGCACACCAGAACAACTAGACACAAGGACAGTTTTTTCTCCCGAATGCCATCATTCTGCTAAACAACTAATTCCCACAACACTGTCAAATTATTTACTAAGGCTGTATTACTATTATTCTTCTCATCCTTCCTAGTACTTATCTCTTCCCACCTATGACTATAACCATGTTGCTTGTATCTTTACAATTTATATTGTTTTGTTTCCTAGTACGATTTGATTGCTTATCAGTAACCTACGACTATCACTCAATGTTGTATCTTATGATTCTTGATAAATGTATTTTATTTTTCTTTATGTACACCATATGCACCAAAGACAAATTCCTTGTGTGTCCAATCACACTTGGCCAATAAAGAATTCTGTTCTGTTCTCTTCTGTTCCTATTCCTATCCTGTTCTGTAAATAAATAAATGAAATTTCTCAAGAGCAACCTCACATGTTGGTATTAATAGAAATATTAGAAGATCTTTAAGGGTACCTATTATATTTAACGGTTGGTTAATCCAATTCACGATCCAATACTGTACAGACCTGGCAGTGTTTATCTATCCGAGAGGCTGTTCTGTTTGGGCAGCAGTGGGAGATGGGATGGGAGGCAAATGACATGGAACCGCGGCACTTTTTACTGTCCACACCGGCTTTCTAAAACTGGGTCAGAAACGGTCAATCTGTCCATAATCCTCAGGGTCGTGTTTAAGAACAAAATAAGCCGGTTCTACCGTGGCTTTATATTCCCGGTCCCCAAACTTTCCCTCCTTCCCCTAAAGTTACATTTATTTACGCAGTAGCCTTCCAGCATCCAACCCTCATGAGCCAGCTAAAGCAGAAGAGACCGGCGACTATTCCCCTTCACTTGTATGGAGTAGAGCGAATACGATACCAGTTGCACCCAAAGGTTTCCAACACAATCCCCATCATCAGCCATACAGAAAGCAAGCGCGATGGGAATTGGAGTCCAAAACATATGGGCAGCAGCAGGCAGGGCGAGAGGGAAAAGATCCCCGGCAGCTTAACTGCTGACACCGCCGCTCGGTACTTGGAGGGGATGCCCGGCTGCCTCGGAAGGAGCCCTGGGAATACGCACCGTGCCCACGCAGCCTTCTTTCCACCCGCCAGCCCCTACCTCTTTGCGAACCCTCTTCCAGCAGGAGCCGGACCCCCGAGCCGCCCCGAACGCGCTCTCCACCAATCAGGAAAACCCGCGTCACCCCCGCCCCCACCCCCACCCCTCGTTCAGAGTTCGCGGATAAGAGCTCCGCCCATTCAAAGGTAACCGCCCCTCCCAACGTGGCTGCCCTGCAGGAGGTGGCAAGTAGAGGTAACAAATTTAGAGGCGCTCATCAGCTCGCAAGATATTACACTTCCTGGTCCGTTTAATGCCACTCGGCCCTATTCAGATTCTATCTCGGACTGACTCCAAAGGTCAGGAAAAAGCGTTGGTTACTTTCTATTTAATTCCTCTTCGCTTTCAGTCACAGTATATTTGTATGTTTAGTTTATTTAGTTTATATAGTTTATTTGATTTGTATACCGCCCTACTCCCGAAGGACTCAGGGCGGTGAACAGCCAAACAATAGATACATAGATACAAAAAATTTAAAAACCAGATAAAATCAAATTAAATCATTTTGGCCCAGACAGATTAAAACACCCCGATAATTTAAAAACAGATTAAAATTTACATATTTAAAAAAGGGAAGAGATTAGGCCAAGCCCGCCTGATGGAATAAAAAGGTCTTCACAGCACGGCGGAAGGAGCGCAGATCCGGGATCCTCCGTATCTCCGGGGGGGAGCTCATTCCAGACGGTAGGTGCCCCCACCGAGAAGGCTCTCCCCCTAGGGGCCGCCAGTCGACACTGTTTGGCTGACGGCACCCGGAGGAGTCCCTCTCTATGAGAGCGTACTGGCCGGTGGGAGGCTATTGGTGGTAGTAGGCGGTCCCGTAGATAACCAGGTCCTAAGCCATGAAGCGCTTTAAAGGTGGTAACCAAAACCTTGAAGCACACCCAGAAGACCACCGGGAGCCAGTGCAGTTCACGCAGGAGAGGTGTTACATGGGAGCGCCATGTCACTCCCATTACCACCCGCGCGGCCGCACTCTGCGCCAGTTGGAGCCTCCGGGTGCTCCTCAAGGGGAGCCCCATGTAGAGAGCATTGCAATAGTCCAGGCGGGAGGTGACAAGGGCATGAGTGACCGTGCGTAACGAGTCCCGATCCAGAAAGGGACGCAACTGGCGAATCAGGCGAACCTGATGAAAAATCCTCCCAGTCACGGCCGTCAAGTGCTCTTCTAAAGACAGCCGTGAATCCAGGAGGATGCCCAAGTTGCGAGCCCTCTCCGTGGGGGGCAATGATTCGCCCCCAATAGTCAGTGATGGCATCAACTGACTATATCGGGACGTCGGAAACCACAGCCACTCGGTCTTGGATGGGTTGAGCCTGAGCCTGAGCCTGTTCCTCCCCATCCAGATCCGTACGGCCTCCAGGCACCGGGACATCACTTCAAGGGCATCGTTGGGGTGATCCGGGGTGGAGATGTACAGCTGGGTGTCGTCAGCGTACTGATGGTACTCCACCCCGAAACCACGGATGATCTCGCCCAGCGGCTTCACATAAATGTTGAACAGGAGAGGCGAGAGGACCGACCCTTGCGGCACCCCACATATGAGGGGCCTCGGGGTCGACCTCTGTCCCCCTGTCAACACAGACTGCGACCGGTCAGAGAGAAAGGAGGAGAACCACCGCAACACAGTGCCTCCCACCCCTAACTCTTCCAACCGGTGCAGCATGATACCATGGTCGATGGTATCAAAAGCCGCTGAGAGATCTAACAGGACCAGGACAGAGGAGCACCCCCTGTCCTGAGCCCTCCAGAGATCATCAACCAATGCGACCAATGCCGTTTCCGTGCTGTACCCGGGCCTGAAGCCCGACTGGAACGGATCCAGATACGTCGTTTCATCCAGGTGCTGGGGGAACTGTTGCGCGACCACACTCTCAACAACCTTCGCCACAAAACGAAGGTTGGAGACCGGACGATAATTTACCAACATTGCCGGGTCCAGGGAAGGCTTCTTGAGGAGAGGCCTCACCACCGCCTCTTTCAAGGCGGCAGGAAAGACACCTTCACCCAACGAAGCATTTATAATCCCCTGGAACCAGCTTCGTGTCACCTCCCGAGAAGCCAGCACTAACCAGGAGGGACACGGGTCCAATAAACAAGTGGTCACGTTCAGTCTACCCAGAATCCTGTCCACGTCCTCAGGGGTCACAGGATCAAACTCATCCCAGATAACATTCTCAAGACCTGCCCAAGTCCCTCCCCCTGAGACTACCCAGTCGGAGTCCAGATCTTCCCGAATCTGAGTGATTTTGTCATACAGATATTGAACAAAATCCTTGGCTCTACCCTCCAAGGGGTCCTCCCGTGCTTCCTGGTGGAGCAGGGAGCGGGTCACCCTAAACAGGGCGGCCGGGCGATTATCTGATGACGCAATAAGAGCAGCAAAATAGCTACATTTCACTGCTTTTATCGCCACTAGGTAATTCCTAATATGAGATCTTACCAGTGTCCGGTCAGATTCAGAAAGACTGGCCCTCCAACTACTCTCTAGGCGTCTTTTCCGGCGCTTCAACTCCCTCAGCTCCTCAGTGAACCAAGGAGCTAAATGAGATCGGCGCCGGGTCAGAGGCCGCAAAGGCACGACCCGGTCCAGAGCTCCAGGCGGCCACTAGGTCTCCAGTCGAGGCGTGTGCCAGAGCCTCAGGGAATGGCCCAAGCTCCATCTGGAACCTGTCAGGTTCCATCAGGCGCCTGGGGCGGAACCATCTTACCGGCTCCTGCAGCGGGGTGTAGCGGTTCGAAGGTCAAGACAAAGGAGAGAGTGATCAAACCATGACAAGGGCTCGGTGACTATATCCCCTATCTCGAGATCACTCAACCACTGTCCAGAGACAAAAACCAGATCCAGCGTGTTTCCCCCCGTGTGGGTAGGGCCATGAATTAACTGGGTCAGGTCCATGGCTGTCATGGAAGCCATGAACTCCTGAGCCACCTCCGACGCCTCACCCACAGACGGCAGGTTGAAATCCCCCATGACCATAAGCCTAGGGGTATCAACTGCTACCGCGGCGATGACGTTGAGTAGCTCAGGCAGGGCTGCTGCCACGTGGCAGGGAGCCAGGTACGTGATCAGCAAACTCCTCTGAACCCCGTGACCCCATTTCACAAGGAGGGATTCACAGCCGGCCGTCTGAGGAACAGTGGCCTCCCTCGGTCTCAGACCATCTTTAATGATAACCGCTACCCCCCCGCCCCTCCCCTGTGACCTTGGCTGATGGAATGCGTGGAAACCTGGTGGGCACATTTCAATGAGGGGTACATATTTTTGGAAATTTCTTTCTCATCTAACAATGGCTTTGTCAGCTTTCATTTCCCTATTTAAAAAAAAAACTAAATTTGAACACAGGAGGCATGTCCAGCTATACAATACTGAGTCAGATAGATCACGAATTTCCAGTTTTAATAAAGAAAAAAAAAACAATTCTAGCCAATAACTCATCCTGCAGAAACAAAGGCTGTAAATTAAGTTTTCATCTTATATCCATAGTTTGTACAGGGATATGTTCCTAGTTATTATTATTAATTTGTTATCCTGCCTTTTATTATTAAGCTGCCAATGTAATACTATTAACCTACATTGAAGAGGGAGGGTTGCTTTAAAGGAGTGAACTGTGCCAGCTCTCCACAGATTACCGATTATAAAGCTTTGGATTTAATTTAAAACTTGCCTTACACTAGTATTAATATAGGCAACCTGTCGCAAGGAATCATGTAGACAAGTGGCTGCCTTCCCTATCTTTTTTTTTTTAAGTATTAAGAAAAAAAATGGAAGAACACTTGCAACATCTTTATTTCAAAAATTTCTCTGAGCTAGAGATACGCCGCCTCAGTTTTTATAGAAAGTATAAATGATGGGTGCCAAAGATTCTCTTGCAGGCACTTCCCTTCCCCTATTTGTCTTGAGAGAACAAAGGCAAAACAATATGAAGTAGCAGGGAACAAGTAGAGAATGGTAGGAAGATTCTTCACCTGTTCCCTGAGATTTTTGTGACTGGCCACATACAAAGGCTGACCTTTGTAGCCTAGTTGATTCCTATAGCAGTGGTGGGGAGCTATGACCCCTTTTATGACAGCAGTCAGGTCTTGTTCAGAAAATTCCAAATGAAGCCCCAAATTCTGCTGCTCTGTACACTTAGGCGATATCTGACTATATGAATCTAATTTTATTAATCAAGAGACTATAATGTCAAAATAACCAAGATATTGAGATGTGATTCTCTGCAATGACATGTTAGTGAATGCTTTTGTAGAACTTATCCTTTATTTGGCATGATTGTTTCTTTTTTTATAAGAACCAAACCAGAGTTATCTGCCAGGCTATTTAAATTACAACGCAATAGCTGAGCTGCAAGAAAACTCAGAAATGAAATGGAAGCATAGCTGCATAGCATTATGTAACAATCTTAAATTAATTAGGTAGTGGCATTTTTCTGTGGCTAACCATGGTTTATTCAATTAACGAATTAATTGATTGTACCTCCCACACTAAACATATAAATGTATTTATTATTTATTTATTTTATTTTATTTTATTTCTATACCGCCCTTCTCCTGCAGGACTCAGGGCAGTGTACAGCCGAGATAAAACATTGCATATAAAATTTAAAAACAGTTTAAAAAACAATTAAATAATTTCGGCCCAGATTTAAAACAACCCAATTAAAACCGAATTCAATTAAAACTGAGAAGATGGGATCAAGCCAGCCCGGCTAGATGGAATAGGTGTGTTTTCAGGGCCCGACGAAAAGTCCGGAGGCCTGATATCGTGTGTATCTCAGGGGGTAGGTCATTCCAGAGGGCAGGTGCTGCCACAGAGAAGGCTTTCCCCCTGGGGGTCGCCAGCCGGCACTGTCTGGCCGACGGCACCCTGAGGAGGCCCTCTCTGTGCGAGCGAACCGGTCGGTGGGAGGCTATTGGCGGCAGAAGGCGGTCTAGCAGATACCCCGGCCCTAAGCCATGGAGCGCTTTAAAGGTGGTCACCAACACCTTGAAGTGCACCCGGAAGACCACAGGAAGCCAGTGCAGCTCGCGCAGGAGAGGTGTCATATGT